TGCAAACACCATCCAGGGAGTGCTGCTGAAGCACTCCCCGCATGGTCCTGAAGGCTAGGGAGTGGCGAGGTAGCCTGTCAGTGGTGGGCCCGTCTTTTTTTGGGGCGGACCTGGCCCCTTCAGAGTTCCACCCACCCTTTCCTGATAACCCCCTATGGATTGTTGGGAGGTATGAATAAATGGAGGGGAAAAATTTGCAGTAAACAAAAAATCTATATATATTATATATTGATTAAATATATACAGTAGAGTTTTTTTTTTTGTAAATCACTTTTTATTTAAATTTTCAACATTCAGAAAAGCAAATATAGAGAGCATATTTACTAACATGACAACAAAGGCTGAAACGTAGCCCAAAGTAAAATGAAGAAAGTGCATCAATAGCAATAATTACATTGCTTTCAGAAGAACAAACAAGTTTGAACAGAAGTATATCGAGTTACGATAGTATCAGAGAAACCAACATGATAACTCTTGTACACCACTGCAAGGTTGGGTAGTAAATATCAGGAAACAGAAATACATGAGTCAACAAATCAGTTGTCTCCGGTGATTATAAATAGCATCTCAAGAGTTTGTGTCTCAATCCAATCTAAAGGCGAGAATTCCCCTCTTCTCACCAGAGGGTCCATGACCAAAAGAAATGGTCAGTAAAAACAAGGAAAGGACACACACCCTAGTAAAGTAAATACAGAGAAGTATCTGAAGAGATAACATGTAGCCCCATGGAACAAAAGCACAGCTTAGTGGAAAGGGGCCTTGACAGGGGTTAGGAGGGGTTAGAAAAATCACTTTTAACTTGCCTGTCTGGCTGAGTTTGTTCCACCCTCCCTCCCTGGGTTTTGGCAATAGTGTGGTTCCTGTTTTGTCACAGCGGCAAGATAGGGAGCTCTAGGAGAGGAAATAGGCTCCCAAGTAGGAAGGTTATGTTAATAGTTATTGGTATGTTGGTAGGTTTCGAGTCCTGTCGGTGGCTCAGAACCTGGTGGGGTAGGGGTATCTGGGTAAATCCCTACCATGGTTAAATTATAATAAATGGTTGGCACTTTAAGTGATGTTATGTTGGTACAATGTTATATATATATATGTTATTTATTAAGGGGGTCATTGCCTGTTATACCTAACAGAAGGATACGGAAGTAAGGGCGGGGCATAGGGCAATGACCCAAAAAGTTTCTATGTTAAGTTATTATTATTTATATATTTAATAAAGCTGTGGACAACTTTACCTATATACCCTAGTGTTCGTGTTTTATTGGGGTTAGGTATGTGGGGGTTTGTCCAAGGCCCATATGGCGACGATGTACCGGTCATGAGTAATAAAACCTCAAGTAACACATGAGTCTCTAGTTAAAGGACCACTCTAGGCACTCAGACCACTTCAGCTTAATGAAGTGGTCTGGGTGCCAGGTCCAGCTAGGGTTAACCCATTTTTTTTTTATAAACATAGCAGTTTCAGAGAAACTGCTATGTTTATAAATGGGTTAATCCAGCCTCTAAAGCTTCTAGTGGCTGAAAATCACAGTGAGAAGACGCCAGCGTCCATAGGAAAGCATTATGAATGCTTTCCTATGAGACTGGCTGAATGCGCGCGCAGCTCCTGCCGCGCATGCGCATTCAGCCGAAGAGGAGGCGGAGAGGAGGAGGAGAGCTCCCCGCCTGGCGCTGGAGAAAGGTGAGTGTTTAACCCCTTCCTCTCCCCAGAGCCTGGTGGGAGGGGGTCCATAAGGGTGGGGGCACCCTCAGGGCACTATAGTGCCAGGAAAACGAGTATGTTTTCCTGGCACTATAGTGGTCCTTTAAAATATACTGAAAGGAGTGTAACAACACACAAATGGGTCGGTGCTAAGTAGCCAAACAATGGTAAGAAGGCAGCAACCCTAAAAAGGGATCTCTCTCAACCATTTAAAAAGATCTAAAAGAATGTCACAAAAAAAGAGAGAAGGGCTGTGCCAACTATACAACAATAATTAAAAGACAGTCAGTAAAGACATATGCACGTCAATATTTAAAATCAATATATAAGAATACAAAATATAGTCCCAAATAAAAGGTTCTCACATATAAAGATGCCTCTAATTAAGAGGTAAGTGCAGCTGTGGGTGCTTGATAAAACGTAAGTTGCCTTGGACTTGAGGGGTGTAATCTTTTCAAGTGGCTAGGGTATCCATATATAAAAAAAGATAAAAAACAGGGAAAACCAATAGTGCAGTATGTCAAACCTAATAAAATAGGTATAATAAGAATAGCGATATCTCACTTACATTTATTAGAGCTATGACCAGCTCTAGCGTTGCCTACAGTGGTACAAGCCCCACTTATAGGATATGATGGAAAACGTCCACAGCAGTAGAAGAGCCCAGAAACTCAGGAAAAAGTAAAAAAGGCAACAGACAGTGATCTCAATAAGATAATAAAACGTAATAAAATAGATAAAAGAATAGTACTCAGAAGGATAGAGCAGACTGAATGCTCTATGATGTCAGTGTTGGTGGTATGATCCCCACCTAGGATTTCTTTGGAGTAGTTGTAAAATATAAAATGCCAGAAAGTATGAAATATAAAATACGTGTCAGGATCCTATCCTGACAACTCAAATAATGTTTATTTTCCTCTTTTCTATTTTACTTCAATACCAGTTTTCGCCACTAGTGGCCTCCCTAGCCATTAGTCAAAGCACAGTCTCTCACACCTGCCTAAACTGATCTTCTGAATGTGCTTTAAAAACCAACACCCAACTAAAGGAGTTGCCTTTACATTGAGAGAAGTTATTGTTCTGAACTTGACAAGTCTTTTGCTCCTGGCTCTTACTGAAGAAAACCTGCTCTACTCTTACCTACTTTGAACCACCCTGATCTACTCTACAATCCTGAGTTATTCCAACCAACCAACCTGCTTCATTTCATTCTGGACTTTGATACCTTCATTGCTTTGTCACTACCTACGGTTCTCCTACCTAAAACAACACAACCTTCCTGGATATTACAGACTTTTCTATTGTTTGCAAGTATCCTGAAAAACCCTAATCATAGCTATCTGAACTTGCAGTTCTGAATTCAAACCAAAGAGGCTGATCACCTCAATTGCTAACTTAGCCTGTATTACTTTATCCTTTATGTTCCTGTTTAGTTCTATCTAATTGTATCCCTATTACCGTAAACCTGCTTAGGGCATATTGCCTAAACCTTCACTTCTGTTCCTTCTATTAACTCTAACCTATAATACCACTGATAGGTTCATTTTCTTCCTCCAACCTATAATTTATCTTATAGGTTTTCCTGTCTAGGGCTTATTGCCTAAACTCTTGTTTTCTGTTATCCCTTAATATACTTACCTGTAACTCTGTTCATAGGTTCTACCTTCTCCAGTTTGTCTTTATTATTTTCTCTTCACTATAAATCCTGTTACTCATATTGTTTTTCTTGTTTAACCATGTCTAAACCCTCAAATAAAGAACCTCAAGTCAACCCTGGCATAAGTCTCTTGTCTGACCTGATCAGAACCATGACAATATGTATAATAAAATAAAAAGGTAATTGGCACCGTACGCGAGTGCAGTGACCAAAAAAACCTTTATTGATTAAAATACAAAGTAATAACATCCATAACGCGTTTCACCAATATGGCTTTTTTAAATGGAGTAAAAACATACAACCTGGTTATGTGGCGTTCTTATAGGTATGGGATTGTTTAAAATTGGTGCCAAAATTACATCATAGGCTGTCGTCCAATCATAGAGCAACATAACTTTATGTGATACAAAAATGAAATAAATACGTGTATAAAGACCCTTTCATAGGGAGTCATGATGTATTGGAAAACTATAAAGAAATTAGGGTTTTTAATCAAGCTAATTATGCACATAGCACTCACAGCCCAACGATATATATATTGCCAGGGAATGGAAGTCCAACATGACCCCCTCCCTTAAGAAACCCTCAGTGGAACTCAATAAAGAAGGCTGCTATGAGTGTCAATTCCCCTATCTTTTCCCACAAACAAACATTTGGTCGACATGGGACACATGGAGATCGGGGGCTATAGGCTGAGTTATGCAACCCCTGAACTATGTAATCTTCCTGACTGTACAAAACCTTGTAAAAACCTTGTAAGAATGCTTAATTGGCCAAGGCACCCTCTAACTAACGCCTAGCTTTCCTACCCACATCCATACCGATCAACTGCATGTATGATGTCGTTACACAAAATGTACCTGTTCATGTATACCTACTTTATGTGCTCGGGTTATGTACCCAATGTCATTGTACATAGATAATAAAACAGAAAAATTGGCTGCGGCAGCCATCTTGGAAGGGGAAGGGAAGATCGTGTGGGAACAATAGCGGCGGCAATATTCGGAGAGGAAAATGCTCAAAACAGCCCAGCTGATAAGGCTTATAGGGCCTGTAGTCGTATACAACGTCGGCGAAGTGCTCAAATTCGCCGGGGTCGTGAGGGGCTGGCCGCAGTATGATATCATCTGTGCCAAAAATATAGGATAGTGTGCTAATATAAAACTCCCCAGGTATAAATATTAAAACAGTAAAACGGGCCCGGTGGCCATCTTGGAAGGGGAAGATAAGATCATGGGAAACAATACGGCCATATTGGGAGGGGGAACTACTAAAAACCGCGGCGGCCATGTTGGTAGGGAAAGTGTAATAAAAGGGGAATGAATGAAATGAATAGATGGACTAGAAAAACATGAACTAAATAAGCAAATATTAAAAAAATAAGGTATATAATCTAAAACAATATATACACAAAATAATACATATGGGCAGAATTTCATGATGAAATACCTCATCACGAAGAAAAAATCAGCGAGGATCCCAGAAAAATTGTGACTACTGAGTAAAAAGTAAGAAAAAGTAAAAGGAGTGTTAAATCAAGGGGAAATGGAAAAGAGAAAAGAATGAAGTGAAGCTGAAGGTATGACGGCATAGAAAGACGTAGGAAAGAAGAGTCCTTAACATCTATTGGATAGAGAGGTTAAGACTCTGTAGAAAAGATAGGTCAAAGTTCGCTCTATATAGGTGGAGGAAGCGCAACCGGGTGACATGTGAAGCTAGGTGAGGGTCATGAAGCCATGGTCCCAAATTTTGTGAAAACACCTTGAGGAATTATGTACTAAAGCCTTCAGCTTTTTTGTTTCTTCAAATAGTTAAAAAAAAAATTATCTTAAAGTGTGTCTTGGATCATTAACTTGTTAGAATAAATATCCTGGCCTTTTTCACTTTTAGTTCCATCAGTAACTGAATTGTTCATTTTAGGCAAATCAATTTATCCATTACAATATATTCTTTGCAACCGCCAGCCACACAACCCAAAGCACAATAGATCCAGTGGAGATATTCTTGATCTTTCGGATCTTGCCTTGTTAACAATTCCTCTTATTTTCCATTTATTGACATTTTGAGCAGGAATTGTTTAGATATCTTTTGATAATCTCCCCCAGCTTTGTAAGAGTCAACAATCTTTATTTTCCCACCTTCAGTAAGCTGCCTAGAGGAGCCCAGAGGCGTACTTATTTTTTCATACTAATAAATATCACTATTTTTATTGAATATCTGCTCCTAATAAGTCACTATTTACATAGTAAGTTTGGGCTGCACATAGTCTCCTTGCTTCACATATCAACTAAGATTTCGCTGATGTATGATACAGCCATGTTAAACTTTGCAGCCTAGCCAACACAGCGCTCTGGCTACAAATTATTGCAGGCTACTAAAATCAGTGGCGTCTCTAGGATTAATATTTAGGGGGGCACATGGTGGGCCAGGGAAAAAAGTAAGGTGGCAGTTATAAAATGTGTATATATGGACGGAGCCTGACCGCAAGCTGTGATGGCCGCATAGCGCGAAAGCTCCCGCCGACGGGCATAATCATTTAGCCACAAACCCAGCCACAATCGGTGCACGGACCCCCAGAGGCGCAGCACACATACCGGAATACCTACAGTCACAAGCGGACATGGGGGGGAGGGGCGGAAAAAACACGAGCAGCCGCCATCCGTGGCCCCTCTGTTCCGGCAACCACGAGGCCAGACGTCATCTTCCCCACAACGGCGGGAAGACTCTGCATCCGACCCCGACCACAGTGAGGCAGCAGGCTCAGCTTCCACACCGCTCACCAAGAGGGACCTGCAACTACTGCTGCAAGAAGCTGCAGCAGATATAAAGACACATATGGCGGCAGAAATTGGAAAACAGCTGCAACTCCTGAAGGCTGGCCTGGCTGACCTGGGGGAGAGGACAGGGCAGGTGGAGCAGAGGGCAGATGATCTCCTTGAAAACCTCAATATGCACCAAGCTGAGCTCACTACACTGAGGAACAAAGTGGAAGAATTAGAGACAGGTATGGAAGACCTAAATAATGGCTCTAGGCGTAACAACATAAGGATTAGGGGCCTCCCCGAAACAGTCACGCCTGATATGCTGCTCTCCACGCTGCGTGAATTGTTTCTTACAATCCTTCCAGAGGCAACGCCACAAGACCTCGCCATAGACCGGGCGCACAGAGCCCTCAAACCCCCTAGCCAAAACCAAATAGCGCCCCGAGACGTAATACTTTACTGTTAAAGAAGCCATCATGGCGGCCACACGAAAAACTCCGCCAAAATTTGACACCATCACTCTCCAGTTTTACCAAGACGTCTCACCTACCACATTAATGAAACGCAGAGAGCTCAAACCCCTAACTAGCGCATTGGCACAAGCCAACATACCATACCGATGGGGACACCCCTTCAAGCTACTAGTCCGCCAACATGATAGTACACACGTCCTGCAAGATACCTCAAAAATGGCGCCCTTCGCTGCCGCATTGGGCATCAGCTTACCCGACGCATGAGCGCAATCCAGAAAACCAGCGGACAACGCCAGACCACAAAGGACGCCACTCTGGGAAAAACTTCGGACACCCCGGAACCGACCACCCAAGCGCCAGCAGCAGACATCGGTGCAGACTCGCGACCGGGACACCTGAATGGCATGGAACAAGTCCACCATGGACTCAACCACTCACAGGCAGAGACTTAAAGGGACTTCCAAACTTTTTGACCTACTTCTGAGTGCGGGAACGCACACCACCATATCCTTTTACACTGAGTTTTATGGCGCTACTTTAGCCATGGTTTACTAAGGTCTAAGGGGACACAAAATAGTTACGGGGACGACACTATAGGGCACTGAAAAGGGCCTAAAGCAGGGGGAAGGGGGGGGGAAGGAAAGGCACTAGAGCAGCTGGGGACGAAAGGGGGGAAAGGAAAGGAGAGGAGGAAAACACGGGATGGGAAGGATGGGGGGGGGGCAAGGGGGAGGTACGTACCATTGGCGAATCTCACTAAATGAGACAGGAAGCCCTGGTGGCTCCCCCGGGAATCGCCAAACTCAACGCAGCTATGTAGGACCACCAGCACACACCCACTAGACCCGATAGGGAAGGCCCAGAGCGAACCCACCCCGGGGCACTGATTACAGCCCGCCTATGCCCAGAGCGGGAAGCACACGGAGACCGCACTGTGCAATGCACCACTCAGCACAGTACGGGGGTCACGAGACCCAACCAGGTGGGGACGACTCCACACCCCCCACTCCATTTGGCCTGGCGCAAACCATAAGACCAGGCGTTTATTTTTTCTGTTTTATCTGTATTATTTGGTTTTCTATGTTAATCCTAGTTCAATGGTTTGAATTGGTCTCAGCAGGAGGAAACATGACGGACACAACATTTCGACACACGGGACACCGTCTACCACTGGGGGGAGGTAATAGCGAACCACGCTCCACCACACAACCATGACAGCTAGTCTGACGTGCATCTCAATCAATTGTAAAGGGCTGAATAACCCCGCCAAACGACACCGACTCATGAGATGGGCAAACTGCAGTAAAGCTGATATACTCCTACTACAGGAGACACACTATGCAGACACACGGCCTTTCCCTCTCCTGAGCCGCCACTTCCAGGCTTGCTACTTCGCCAACTCCAACTCAGGCAAACACAATGGAGTGGCGATTCTCCTAAGGAAAACTTGCCCCCTCCAGATTGCCACCACACACAGGGACCCCAACGGCCGCTTCCTTACGGTGGCGGGCACAATAGGCCCAACCAAATACGCGATCACCTCGGTCTATGGCCCCACAACCCCGGACCCGGGATTCTGGCCTACTCTACGTGCACATCTCAGCTTACACCCAAACTCCCACCAGATTATAGGCGGGGATTTAAATGCCGCGATTGAGCCACTGGCAGATAGACTCAAACGACCACCACAGACTCCAGCACCGACCAGAAACGACAAATTCATGGCAGACTTCATTTCCACTACCAAACTGATAGATGTCTGGAGACTGCAGCACCCCTCCACACTAGACTACACCTTTTATTCCCACCCACACCAAACCTACTCACGTATAGACTACTTCTTGGTTTCCCCGTCACTACTTCCGCTCATAACAACGACTTCCATAGGCAACAAAACGGGGTACGACCACGCTGAGATAGCAATCACATTCCAGCCCCCACGAATCTCCAGACCCTGGTCCTGGAGACTTAACCCGACACTACTCAACGACCCACAAACGGTACAACAAATCACAACAGAACTCAAACATTACTTCGCTACAAACAAGGATACAGTACAATCCAATGCAATCATATGGGCTGCTCACAAAACGGTGATCAGGGGTACCCTTATTAGCTTAGCCACAGCACACAAAAAAAGACGCCTCGCTCACATAGAGAAAATACTAGCGGCCATCAGGGACCTTGAATCCCTACATAAAGTCACCCCCACCCCGGACCTCACTACACAACTCCAACACCAACGACAGGCCCTCCACAATGCAATGGCAGTGGACGCCACCAGGGCTCTACAATGGACACAACAAAAGTTCAACGAAAAATCCAATAAAGCCGATACACTCCTGGCCCGCAGGCTGCGCAAGCGCATCCAGGCCAAGCAGATAACACGCATACGCACACCATCGAGCCATGACACAGAGGTACCTACCAAAATTGCGGAGGTATTCCAACACTATTTTGCAGACCTATATGACCACTCCCCCCACCATAGGCAACGGACCGCCACCCTACAAGACCGTATCCAAACCTTTTTAGACCGAACCCACTTGCCCACACTATCAGATAGCGCGATCACCCAACTCTCCATGGAGATCACAGAACAAGAAGTTGCGACGGCCATAGGGGCCACCAAACCCAGCAAAAGCCCAGGACCGGACGGATATCCGGGCATATATTACAAAACATTCCGGGACACTCTCCTACCCCACCTCGTACAACTATACAACACCCTGCTGCAGGGAAACCCACTCCCCAAAGACATGCTCCAAGCCAACATTTGCCTTCTACCTAAACCCAATAAACCCCTCTCAGACCCAGGCCACTATCGGCCAATATCCCTATTGAATGTAGATATCAAACTGTTCACGAAAATACTCTCCAATAGGCTGCTACCACATATCACATCATTAATCCACCCGGACCAGGTGGGCTTCATCCCCACTCGCCAAGCTAGTGACAATACCAGGAGGATGCTAGACCTGATCTGGGTGGCCACCCAGCGCTCCATTCCAATGCTACTCCTATCCCTGGACGACGAAAAGGCGTTTGATAGGTTACTATGGCCATTTCTCTTTGCCACTCTGGAGAAACTCAGATTCCCCAAACCATTTCAAGACGCCCTGCGAATGATCTATTCTAATCCTACTGCCAACCTACTCATACCAAACACGAACCCCCCCTCATTTCCATATACAATGGCACGAGGCAGGGCTGTCCCCTGTCCCCCATCCTGTTCGCCCTCTCACTTGAACCGCTACTGCACCTTATCCGCACCACTCCCCAGATCACAGGCATCAAAATCCGCACACAAACATACAAGGCTGCGGCATACGCCGATGACCTGATGGTGTCACTCACAGATCCGCAGAACGCACTCCCACCTCTCCTCAAACTCATAGACGACTACTCAGAGGTATCGGGATACAAATTAAATTTCGATAAAACTGAAGCACTCATGTTGACAATACCAGACAATCAAAGACAAACACTACGGACCACATATGCTTTCAATTATAAGGCCTCACACATCTCGTACCTAGGGATCACCCTGCCAGCGGAACTACAGCGCACATACGCACTAAACTACTCACCGCTGATCCAGAAAATCACAGAAGACCTGCAGAGATGGGGGGACTTGTCTTTGTCGTGACTGGGACGCCTAGCCTCGGTAAAGATGAATCTCCTACCAAGACTGCTCTATCTTTTTCAAACCCTCCCCATACCCACCTCGGACTTCAAATACCTACAGTCGCACATCGACAAATTCATCTGGTCGAATAAACGACCGAGAGTGAAAAGGGCGACCATGTACATCCCTAACAGGACGGGAGGCCTGGGCCTACCCCACTTACAACACTATTACCACGCGACGCAAGCCACACAGATACAACATCTACACGCCCCACCGGGGACGAAGCGCTGGGTGGACCTAGAACACGACATATTTGGCTTCGACCTCCCCTCATTGTACATATGGGTCCCACGGACCTCCCGGCCCATGCCACCACCCATACCCCCGACATTAGCTAATTATATCAGCACCTGGGATAAGCTTACCCAAAAATTCCCTATCATCAACAACCCATCACCACTGACACCCATACTGCGCAATAAAGCATTTAGCCCAGGAATGAACCCAAAAGATTTCTCACACTATGAACACAACGACCTTTATAGAATATGCCACTTCTTTGAGGGAGGAAAACTAATGCAATACAAAGACCTTCCCCAACAACACTCACCATACAACACACATGACTTTTTCAGATACATACAACTAAAGAGCTTTTTGGAACTCCCTGAAAATAGGATAGCAGCCACCAACAGATGTACAACATTTGAACGAGCATGCATGCATAACCCAGCCCGCAAGGGCCAGATCACTGATAACTATAGCCTGCTCATCTCTACTCATGCCCCAGGAGCGATGGCATATGTGGCGGCTTGGGAGAGGGATCTGGGGCCACCGGGAGACCCGAATGACTGGCAGGACATATGGGAGGCCACAGCATCTATCTCTATCTGTGTCAACCACAAAGAGCAGGCCTATAAAACTCTACTACGATGGTATCTAACCCCCGCAAGACTATACCGAATGGGTAGGACCGACTCGGACCTCTGCTGGAAGCGGTGTGGGCAAAGGGGAACATACATACACCAATGGTGGCAATGCCCAAAACTAGCACCGCTTTGGGCGGAGGTGGCCCGCCTGGTCTCCAGCTTACTCCACACAGACATACCCTTAGACCCTTGGATCTGGCTCCTATCCAAACCCTGGGAACCTTTAACCAGAGCCCAAAACAAATTAGCAAACAGAATAGCTCTGGCTACAAGGAGGGCGATAGCAGAACTCTGGGGCTCCCCGGAGGTCCCCACTTTAGCCACAATCATCCGCAAAACCAGGGAAGCCATTGAAATGGACAGAATCTCAGCCCTAGTCCATGAAACGTCAGGCCACTTTCACAAAATTCGGGACCCGTGGCTGAGCGAGCCGGCGCTGAATTCGTCGAACCTGGCTACGCCACAGGCCCAATAAATGGCCAACAGAGGCATAACGGGGTGGGGAGATCAGGGGGTGAAACCCAAACGCATGACAAACAGGGGAGAACCCATAGGGGACCATAACCGCAACTCAGGGGGGCCAACCCACAACAGACTCCAGCAGTCTCCCAAAACCATAGCACAGAAACACTAAAACTTCCCGCGAGCATAACACCCAACCACTGAGACCAAAAGTTGACTATGTTTATACTTGATTGTGTATTTTTGTATTTTTGTATGTTTTTTACGTCGGTATTTATGTTCCGTGGTATAATATGGATTAACCACTGTGCGACCTATCAACACCCAACTAATGCAACAGCAAAGCTGGAAACTAGCTGGACAAATTGTCTACTCACATAACAATGTCAAACATGTTATATCATAAGACAAATGTATACACCATGGTTGCAAAATGCTTCTGAAAAGGTGAAAATAAATAAAGAATGTTTTAAAAAAAAAATGTGTATATATGGTTGTGTGTGTATATATATATATATATACGCTGCCTTAATCCCTCTGCAAACTGCAGTCTCAGCCAGATAGATAATGTAACCACCAGATGTAGTCACACTGTCAGTTCGCATCACATCTACCCCATGGATTTAAGAATCTGTGTCTTTTCTGCCCACCTTCCAACCATGTCTCTGTTTCCCTTCCCATCATGTCTTTTGTTGCCCCTTCTTCCATGTCGTGGATGTAGTTTGTATTGTATGCAGTGTGTGTATTGAGTACATTGTGTGTTTGTTTGTATATATAGTGCATGCAGTGTCTGTGTTTGTGTAGTATATGTAGTGTGTATAGTTTATCTAGTGTTTGTGTGGTGGATGCAGTGTGTCTAATGGATACATTGTCTGTGTAGTGGCTGTATTGTTGGATAAGTGCTGGGGGTGAGCCGTTTAAATTAAATTGGGCTTATCCCCCCATCTTGCTCTTACCTGTGGGCTGGAAGGGGGTAATAGTGTATATGAAGGTGATAGTATAGGGGGTCAGTGTGTAGGAAGTTGCCAGTATTGGGGGGCAGTGTGTAGAAAAGTGACAGTGTGAAGGGCAGTGTGTAGGAAGGTGACAGTGTGGGGGAGCAGTGTGCAAGAAGGTGACAATGTGGGGAGAAGGGTGTGTGGATGACTGTGTGGGGGCAGAGTGTGGGAGTGACAGTGTGGATGGGCAGACTGACAGACAACATGCCCTCACTGATACACACTTACTGACAGTCATTGTCTCGCACACTGTTAAACTAACACACACGTTCACTGACAGACACACACTGACACAAACACATTCTCAGAGTCACATACACTCACTGACATTCACACATGACAAACACAGACACAGACTCTAACTGACAGACACTCACAGGCAGACACACACATTCACTGACAGACACACACACATTCCCTGACATACATACACACACAAACACATTCACTGACAGACACACAAACACACACACATTAACTGACAGACACACACACACACACACACTCAATGACATACACACTCACACATTCACTGACAGACACACACTCACAATTTACTAACATTATTAAAGGACCACTATAGTACCAGGAAAACATACTTGTTTTCCTGGCACTATAGTGCCCTGAGGGTGCCCCCACCCTCAGGGTCCCCCTCCCGCCGGGCTCTGGAGAGAGGAAGGGGTTAAACACTTACCTTTCTCCAGCGCCGGGCGGGGAGCTGTACTCCTCCTCTCCTCCTTGCTCACAACGTCATCGGCTGAATGCGCATGCGCGGCAGGAGCCGCACGCGCATTCAGCCGGTCGCATAGGAAAGCATTTACAATGCTTTCCTATGGACGCTTGCGTGCTCTCACTGTGATTTTCACAGTGAGAAGCACGCAAGCGCCTCTAGCGGCTGTCAATGAGAGGCTCTGGAGGCTGGATTAACCCTCAGTATAAACATAGCAGTTTCTCTGAAACTGCTATGTTTAATAAAAAAAGGGTTAATCCTAGAGGTACCTGGCACCCAGACCACTTCATTAAGCTGAAGTGGTCTGGGTGCCTAGAGTGGTCCTTTAATGTTATTTGTCCACCCAGCATCCCCACCTGGAGATCTGGATTAGCTCTGTCCCTGGGGTCCAGTGAGGCTACAGTAAGGCGGGCAGCTGTGAGCACATAAGAGGCGGCCAGGAAGCTGTAAAATCACAGCTCCCTCGCTGCCTCTGATGAGCTCAAACTGCCCGCCTCCGGTGTCCATAAAGTGCTTCCTCCATGACAGGAAGAAGCACCAGCTACAACCATGCATTTGGGGGGGACACAAGTGGGGGCACGGCATGATTTAGAGGGGCCACCCTAGTGACGGCCCTGAGTATAATATATAAAGGTTCTGGAGTGGAACATTAGGCCAGCAGACAAAGTGTACAGGGAGAGGCCCATGGACCATCTAGGCCCCCTTGCAGCAACACAATTGGATAAGTTAGATTTAGTAATGCAAAACAAAACTAAGTGTGTATATGAATTGCTGGATGTGAAGGGTTGAAAGAATATGTTGGCGTCAGTGGTGACTCAATGCTGGGAACTGCAAGCTAATCAAACATAATGCCACAACTGAACTAAGGAGTCATTAAATGTATTTGCATCACATGTCTAATCTGTCTCTACCCAGAAGGCAATTGTGTCATTAGACTTAGTGTAATAAAATTGAAATAAGCTTAAAAAAAAAAAAAAGAGTAAACACTAAAATCATTAGTTATAAACAGTTTCTGGTGAATTAAAAATACCTTTATTGCAAATATGACAGTTATTCTTTAAAGGATTACTCCAAACACCATGACCACTTCACTGATTTGAATGGTACCTGGTGTTTGTATATGCAGCATTTCACTATGAAACGTTGCACATACAGAGTTTAACCCCTCTGCTGTTGGAGATGTAATTCCACCCCTGGCATTGACATTAGGGTGGTAATGGCCAGCCTAGAACAAGATTTCTGGACTGCCTAATGAGAATTCTGTTAATAATGTGGAGTCTGACGCCAGCATGCCGGGGCCAGACAGCCAATGGAGGCACACCATCCCCTCCGTGCTACTCGGTTTTGAAATAAGGCCAAACTTGGCCTCGACGCTGGAGTGGAAGTAAGTTTTAGCTATTTTCTTTTGGGGAGGGCACCAATATAGGAAGGGTTACTTTGACAAAAAACAGTGTTTTCTTAAATTGCTATTTGTTTTGGTTGGAGTAGCTGTTTAGTTATCACAGGTGATGGAAGGTTCAGAATTAAAGCAGTTTGACTTGATTTGACTGGTAGCTATATTGTCTGTACCTAAAGTTATGGCACTGGCTCGCAAAGTGTTACTATTCTGGAGAATTTCAAAACAATTACATATTTTTATTACCTACGTTTAACCTCTGTTGATACTCCCACCTCTGATGCTCACCTTAAAGAATTCTCTAGGGTTGCATCGTTCCTATGGAACGCCCTTCCTCTCTCTTTTAGACTTTCACCCAATCAAGGACAGTTTTTATTTGTGATTATTTATATTCTTTTAACATTTCATGGGCTAACTTTTTGCCTAAATAAATATAAGATTTTTAATCTGATCCTGATCCTTGAAATTTATTACATCATCGGTTCCTGGAAGCCAAGGGAAGTGGATGTTACCCCAATCCCAATTACCTGTGGGGAGATTTTTTTAAGGTGCTTATACCACTGATATCTTGTGAGTGCAACCAGTATCTCTTTAATATTGTTATCCCACAGTACATCACTATGTGTTGTTAATTTTGTTTATTTGCAGATACACAGCTGTATCCCATTTTTTGTATATATCTATATTTCAACCAATCTCCACTCCTTCAAAAAAATCTTTGAAAACGTACTTCTTTAGGAGAAGATATCAATTAAACTGTGAACAGCTTTCCCTCCCCGCACTCTGATTCCTCTCCTGGAACTGTCATCAAAACAAAACACTAAGCTCTCAATGAATACTATCCTAGCAACCTACTTTTCTATACTACCCTTACCTTATGTGTCACATTACCTAACTCCCTCTAGCATGTAAGCTCAGGCCCTCAATCCCTCTGTTCCTGTGCATCCAACTTGTCGGTTAGACTACCCATTGTACAGCGCTATGGAATTTGTTGGCGCTTTATAATAATATTTTTTTGAGCTTATATATATTGTCTTAACTTGATTCATATATGTGTTGACCTAAAAGAGAATGATTAACTAGTTATGTCTAGTAGAGTCCCCTGTTCTGTCTAAAACACCCCCAGGCTCCACCAATTTCCACAGAACATGATTCTACACCAAGAAGAACTATCCTCCCAATTAACCATTTTCTCTGTTCTTTTTTTTTCTTTAGAACCAGTTTTGCATAATCAAAAATCCGGTTAAGCAATAATGGTGCACTAACAAACAAAGGAATATCCAGGGAATTAAACTAATTTCAATTTATCGTATTTCTGTGGCTAACACTTGGGCAGCAATCAATCTGACGTGTTTCAAGCCTGTAGGCACTTAATAATAAGTCTCACTTATAAGGACACATGATTATTTGTCTATGGGAGTGAAACGTATTTAATGGTATTGGTTACATTACCATTAAAGGAACACTGTAAACATCATGACCATTACAGCCCTAGTGTACATAGTCAAACTGTTTAAGAATGGTTTGACAACCTACCTGGGATCTGATGTGCACCCACTTCTGCCTCCTCCGCAGAAGGAAGGTTCTACATTGAGCTACGCTTAGTGGTATATGTTGTGCTCATTTATTTTCTTAGAGCGCTCAAAGAACTGATGAGCTGGCTCTGCATGGCAGGAGGTGGAGGAGGGGGTGCCAGGAACCCAGCAAACCTCAGGTAAGTTGTCAATCCAGTCTTAGACAATTTGGCTACTATCTTTAGGAGGGTGCAAGTAGTGTAGTGTAGTGATTAGGCTGTTCCTTTAACTGTGGATATGCAATAAATTTTAATTATTTTATTTTTTTGGATACTCCTTTGTTTGTTAGTACCAATGTTCACTCTAATTCTTTGCCTGGTCTTTTTGAGTCGAGTTGGACACAATATGGCACAGAGAAAGTCGTTGGGAGCATGAAGGAAGGTAAAGGTGACAATATTTGAAATCTTTTAAAGTCTTGGATCCCATGTATAATAAAGGTCTAAAGGAAGATCTACAATAGTAAATACCAGTATTGCCAAATGCCAACGATGCCGATAATTGGTTTACCATATGATTTTCTCTTCGATACTTTCATGTTCATTGTTACCTTGTCAAACCTCCCGGTTCTTTTAAGACTAGAAAAACATTTTCATCTCCTTATTTGAATTTTATATTCAAACTTCAGACCCCAGTGGTGTTAAATAAGGCTAGATTTATAAAGTGAACTCATAAAAAAATTTTCCTAAGTGGATTCTGAGTCAGCTTATGAAATATAATTATACACAATATGAACATTATATAATAACTAGATGTGTGCACAGTAAAAAAAATATTTAAAATTAAT